CTCTCTCTCGGCGAGATCGCAGTCAAGTTGGGCCGTCCTTCCATCCACCATCGTACATACGACCGTCAGGCCATACGTATTTACCTGGGCCAAACAGGTCTCACTCCGAATCCCATAACGCGAAATGTTGACAAGGGCAAGCTGGGCTGATTCACAAGACAGGTCCCACATGACAATCGTAGTTCTTTTGGACTGGGACTCGGTACGTGCTCCAAAAACAACCCGTGACACTATGAAACATGACAATCACACCAACTGCACTCTAGAAGCAAAGGAGTAGTATGATGGAGTATGTAAACTAAACCACATGCCCGGATTTAATGGCTTTGGAGGCAGGAACATTCAAGCGGATGCAATCTCATTGTTCCCACAATTGTAGTGGACAACCCCAAGCCCCCTCATTGTGTCCCGGTCCTCAGTCCTCGTGCGCCCTACCTGTGCCATGCTTCAAATCCTCCTGGTACTCCCCATCATAGAGCATCAGGCCATTTGGGGTGTGCCACTCCATACCTCGGCCACATCGCATGCCACACGGGGCACGTCCGACACAAACAAGCTTCTCTCCCATGATCAGGAGACCAATGCCTCCCCCAAACTTCCCCTGCTTAGAGGCCTCCCCCGCATCGAAGCGTGCAACATGTTACTGGTTTAAGAAGGCTGCTGAAGGAACTACAGTATATATATATATGTCAACAAATTCTGCAACACACCGTATAGCCTATTCCCCAACACTTGAAACAAGCAACTACTGGAGCCTTGGGAAAGCCAATGATTCGATCTGTATATACTTCTGAGACTTCAGACTTGTACATGCTTTTGGTTTGCGGCGCCTTTCCCCGCCACCCACTGTGATTCTGGAGTTGTTGATTTGTGCCACCTCACACTTCCCAAATCTGAGCTCCAGGACGACCTTTGCCATGGAACTTTCCTGCGAAGCAAGCAGGTCAAACATGTCCGGCTTAAAGTCTGAGTTGATGCCAGCTCCCCCAAGCAGTTTGGGGTTCATGATTAAAACAAAAAATGACACCAAAACCGCTTCTGGAGCCAGGTTCACACTACTTCTGGTTCAATTCCGTGCTCCACAACATTGGGCAATAATCAGTCACTTGACACCAACTTGATTCACATGTAATTATATGTGCATGTAAGCATGTTTAACTTATATATGTATATACCTATGTGTTACCAGTATGTATACTATAGCTATAAGCAACGCGAGTACTATATTACTATATCATCGCATGTTACCTCAAACGAAAGCACGTTGAGATGTCAAATATACTATGGGTCATGTACATTGTACATGCCGAGCATCGCTCAAGCAAATCTCGATCTTTCAAGTCAAACGATTGACAGTATGCAAAACAAAAACGAACTCAACGAGTAATGATTACATCCATGTCATTCCTTTTGCTTGAGAAGCAATTTGTTCATTGCATTCCATTTCATTCCATGGTCTTTGCCTTGTTTGAAGCTGCCCTCATACGCACGCCCATCTTGCCAGGTTTGACGCCCCTGGCGGTGGGTCAATCTGGCTCACGGTGAGCACTTAGGCTCCAAGGACCTTATCACTTGGAGAAAGGAGAAGTCATAACACATCATGAAACCATCGTAACACAAACGAACACAAGTCTTGTATAGATTTTGGATCTGAGAGAAGTCACTAAGTCACGTCACTCAGCTTGATCCTGGCATCAATGAAACTCATTGTCTTACTTGTGGTGCATCAATCATGCTCCATGCAAGGGTCCCCATTTTGGGTTGTACTAAGTACTATACAACCAAAAACGAATATTATCCAAGCTGGAGCTTTCCCGGAAAGCCGTCACAAGGCTCTTTTGGATTTGGATGGTTCTGGCCTTCAAACATCACACCTTTTGGCCTTGGTGACTTGGTTTTAAACTCTGCAAGCTGTCCCTGTGAAGCATGCCAGGGCATACGAATCCGTCGCGCTGATCGTTCCTGAGCCCACCGAAGGAGTATGAGTTTTTCCAGCGCTTCATGCAGGAAGCGTCCGTGAAAATGAAACAAAGCTCCAAACGCAACACAAGCAAGAAATCCAAGAGAGCTGTTACTGGCATGCTCTCTTTTGGTTGGTTGGGTGAGTTCCTAGACAAATGATCACCCACCCTGCGTGCATTCCCACCGGGAACTGCCAAACATGATGCTTCCACATCAGCCGGTCAATATTCGCACCAAATACGGGTCCATGGGGCAGTCGAACGACCGCCAGTTGCGCACAAATAGGACAAACATGCCATGCCAATCAGCACGGTGCGGTACGGAATAAGGAGCGAACAAGTCAGGTTCCTGGTTCATCTATCCTCAACACACATGGAGTCAGTTAAGCTAAGCCATGCTCAGACCCCTGCCATCCAACATATATCCTTCCACCAAACCGCGCATAAAGGAAATCCATGGTTCAGCGCCAATAAGCACATACCATCGAAAGGCGTCTTGCCATCTGTGGCTCAAGCTTTGAGCCACATCTGGGTGCCCCCACACCCACTGACCCGTGTATTGCTCCACACTGGAGGTCCATGTGCCATTGCCATGGCGCCTCTGTCAGAACTTGTGAGATGATAACCTTCTGACCGTCTGACCTCACCATGGGAGTTGGGGCCTTGACAAATTATCAAAACTCATCATACTCGTCTGGTCCAAAAAGGGAAAACATGATTGAAATATCTATATATATATATATCGAAATGCAGGGAAATGCACCAAACCAAACGCCAAAAGGCTCACGAGAAAGTCAAACATCGCTTCATCATGTTGGATCACTCTCCGCGGCGCGAACAGGACAGTGCCTGCCATTGGCCAGCTGACCCACATATGAAGAGCCGTCCTCATAGGTTTCCTTGCCCAAAAAGAAAACGCTTGAAGCTTCATGTGCCCACGGGGTTCCACAATGTCCCACGGGGTTTCAGATTTCCAACATGGTCATAGCAATTGACACAGCTTCGCGCCTGTCCATCAACTCCTTCCGCAAAGCCTGAGAGGTGAACCTTCGGTGTGTTCGGATGTCGGAATGTGGGCACCCACAGGCAATGCAAATATATGGATACGCAACAATCTCTGGAGAAGGTGGACAACATTATGCAACGTCCTCCGAACCATCGCCTTCAACCGGCAATGAAATTCCTCCCCCCAAAACAGGCGTCTACAGTTGAAGAAAGAACCTTTGTTGAAGGTCTCCGCCGCCGCCACGTCTCAAAAGCAGAAAAAAGAGAAGAAGTCTGCAGTACGAGTACCTCCGATATTCAATGCATCTTACAAGAAGCAGAAAATGATCCACCGCAACTGGTGCGGGAGTTGTTCGACGTTCGATCCCTCACACCGTCAGCGTTTCATCCAGATCATCCGTTTCTTGCAGCGCACTTCAGCGGTTGAGACTGGAGAGAGAAAAAAACAACTTGGACAATGCCAAGGGACAAGTCCTATGACAAGACCCCAGCAATCATGGATATAACAAACATATCATATACTGTATATATAATATACTGTATGCTAATATAAATGTATATCGTATAGTATATATACTGGTTGTCCTTTTGCACGTTCTGCATCGCTCTGCCCTGTACCTGTGGAGGCTGACAGCCTCTACAAAAACGCCGAAATACGACGTCCGGGTAGATCGAACCCCCCCGGCTAGGAGCGGGCGAACCTGGGAAATGGTAGACTGGGCACTGTCCCGGCCTCGGCAATGAAAGCGGCTTAGAAGGCTCAGCCTCACCCTGTCTGAACAACTCTACACTACAGGCAACCATCTAAAGCACCTGTCATTGAAGGTCACCATCGACAGTAAAAAAACATCAAAAGGCGACGGCAACGACAATCCTAGTGACTGCGTCCTTCTCCGGTGCACTCCTCACGAAAAGGGGAAGATATTCGACGAGATTCTGCGATCATTGAACAATGGGTGGCACAGGATGTGCTGTAATCATTGCTTCTTCTCTCGTAACTAGCAAGTGTCAATGCACAGTTTAAACAAAGTGTCCTCCAACTTATAATCCGAATCTCTCTTAAATTAGATAAAGTGCCCTCAAACATTGTCGGCGTTCAGCTGCAGAACCACCGCATGTTCATCGCAGAACGTCCTGACCAATAAATAAACATCCGTGGCATTCCGTGCCAACCACAGTGGCTACCGATTCCAGCTGAACCCAAAACACGCAGGATTCGCATGGTTCCCGCGGACGTACGCTTGCACAACGCATCAAAAAGCTGTCCGCGGATATAAACATTCAGTATCTCTCTATAAAAGACACTACAAATGAAAACACAGGGGAAGAGGTTGGAGAACATTCATAGCAGGATAATGCCACAACCTGCTTCCCATCTGCTGTGGCCTCCCGAGTCTCTCCCATCTGCTCATCCCATCTCCATCCCCGAATCACTCAGGGAGCCCTGCGATTCGGGGATTCCTCCAGCACAGCGTGTGGCAGGAAAAACCGTGTCCAGCGTGTGTCCCTTCCACTAATGCAATTTGAAAAGGAAAGACTCGGTTGGACAAGTGCTGGGTCTTGCAATCGAAAACCCGAAAACATCGGGGACCCGGACCCAGAAAAGAATGTGTGGCCAGCAATAAGCTCAGTGCGCGCATCTTGCTTGAGCATTGGGAGGGATGCTCAATATTGCGTGTTCCCACCATATGGAATTTGTCATGTTGGTTTTCCGTGCTAGTTTTGCTCATGGGATTCTCTAACTGTCCGTCAATGACCACCTTCAAAATGAATGAACTCCAACCAAAGTGGTAGTCTGACAAGTCCACAAATCATTGGTACTACGCTATTCCGCTATTCTGTCTGCCAACCACCAATCCTGTCGGCGGTTTCTGGGGAGCCACCAAAACTGAAACTGGGATGAACATGCAATGCTTCCTGGGTTGCCTTGGCAAGCACGGCGGTAACAAATCGTCACTTTGGAGCAGGGTTCGATTGATAACCCATGCAAACGGACACAAACTGGATGCGGCCGGCCACATTGGCGTCTTTTCCCTCGCAGCACACTAGCTCCGAGAGCACCTGCAGGACAGGGATTGCAAAAGCGGCAGAAAACAAATGCAGCAAACTAAAACAAGGCATTTGTCCATTTCGACACTCCTGCTCTTAGAATATATTCCTTAATTTCATTAGAACAATTCTGAGGCTCTTAAGGCACAGCTTTGGTGCAACCATGTGCAGGCTCCCAACATGTCCCAGCTCGAACCTCGTCAAGTCCATGCTTTTGTCGGGCGCCGGTGGTGTCGGTGCCACCGCGCGGCCAAAGGTCTCCAGTGCTCCGAACTTGGGCGCGCCACACGCGGTGATGTCCTGTCTAGGAGAGAAAGAAAACCAAAGCTCATATTGTAAGACCGACCGCTGCTTGAAGTAAAAAACAAAGGTGTTGAGGGTTAGCTGAACTCAAAGTTTGCAAAGTGGTCTTGCTGGGGGCACTTGTCTCTTCAAAGCATGCTTCTTATATAGTGGACAACTTGTGCGTGTGAGAGCGCACAATTCAGCGTCAGTAGAATTGAGGTGCCATGTCATTGCAGGCATCCTCATCGAAACGACTGCACTCAAGGACCCCAACCATCCTCAACCAACCTAGCTGAACTTGGGCTCAGAAATAGGGTGCCGGGTACTATGGACCATGAATACCGTCCGAACAAGCTGGTACAAACTGGTAAAAGGACAAGTTCTCTCAATCCTGGATCTTCTGCTGTTGAGTCATTGCTCGAACCGAATAGATTCAAGGTTCAAAACATCCGGACACCGGATTTCGCCACATCTCACCAGGCAAGTGGGCGATAGTGCAAGGAGTTCGCAAAGAGGAGCACCTCCTCAGAGTTCTATGACGTTTTTGGGGGTTCTCTTGAGTCCAACGGCTCCTCGGAAAACAGCTGACCAGGTGGCGCACCATAGACCAAGAAGGCCTTTGCGGGCGACCCCCCACTTCGACGAATAGCCGACATGGAACTTTGTTACCTTGGGTGTGAACTGCTTGGCATTGGGTGTGTTGTGCCCAGGGGTGTCTTAGGAAAGCCCCAGTTGTGCAAATTTTGGCGTGCTGTTCTTTGCCGGTGTGACCGTTTGGGATGGCAATGGTTTGGGGGCCCAATTCACACCTGAAAGGCGGAAGCGGCGGAACCGTGCGTGGACTGACCGAAACCTTTGTTGAAGGCACTTGAAAAGGAACCATCAAAACCTGCGCAAAAAATATTTTCCTGAAAAGCTGCGTGACTTGGACATCCTGAGGCCAGAAAGTACTACTGAAGAAAACAACGAAATGAACCCGATGTTGTGGTAAAGTTTATTAATACATCGTGGCCGTGGCCATTGAACTAGGGATTCACACATGGTATGTCGTGAACTTGGTGTGGGTGATTGACCAAAACCACACAGCATGCCAAGGTGCGGTCATCACCCCGACGCCAGCTGCCTCGGTTTGAACACTGTTTTTACAAGTTGAAGCATATATACAAAAGACTTCCTGCACCAGCTGGCAGGGATTCTCAGAAATTGTGCGTTTTAGTGATTTTTGGGTTGCACATGGTTGCACGGGTTCATTTGCCTCTGTCTCAACGGCTGGTATGCCTCACGTACCAGGTGTGCATATGTTTGGGGGGGTTCTCTGAACGTCGACACTGTACCGCCCACAGGAGTTCCTTCATGGATCGCGTCTTGACCATGCCCACTCAATGAGCATCAACACATCTGCGAAAGACTAGACTGTCGTTGAGTCAAAGTGGTTGACCCCAATAAGTGGAAGGGGATGACAGCCGCAAAAAAAGTGGTTTCCTGCTCTTCCGGGAGGAGCTCTCTTTCTGCGATATGTGTGGTTTCAAGGTTCAGGCTGGAGGATTGAGCAACAACACCAACACCGGCATCAAATCAAGTGGCCGAGAACAAATAGAGCACACGGTGCTGCTGGGCCGTGGCTTCCACGAAGACACGCACATCGAACTGATCGTCCACGCCTCTGAAGGCAACCACCACAACAACAACAACAATACTGTAGCACTCCTGCCTACAAAAGCAGAAATACAAAGGGTGACTACATGACTACAAAACAGACTACTATAAGCTGGTTGCCCTAGGTTCCGGCATGAAGGGAAACAAGGCCCTTGAATTAAGCGAGCAAGTCTGTTTCAGCCTCATTTGAAACCATCTCTAGCCCCAAAACCTGCTGCACAAAGGACAAAATTCAAAACATGGCAACCGTGGCTACACCCAAACAAAAGTTGCGCTTCTTGACACTCAAACTCACAACCCTCACCCCCTAGAATCCTACACTGGAGACCTGGGAACGGGTGCGCGGTCACTTTTCATACCGGTAAGAATTTGATTATGATAAATTGTTGACCGTCCCACATCTGCCACGAAGGATTTAAGGGATATACATAATTCGATCCGCAGCTGACCCTACAGCGTTTTAGGAACATGGTTAACAAGCATAAACTTGTCTGCCTGAAGTACGCATTCCTTGGCAACCTCTCTCAGTCTCTCCCTCTTTATCTGGGAGACATCATTTTTGCTACCGAGTGAGTCACCTGCGGGCTTGGCCAAGTTGGCATAGATTGCCACGGCAGGTGTCCCGCAGAAGGGGGCCCCTACCTCAGCGGGATAGAACTTGATCATAGAGTCCCGTCTAAAACATAGAAACGCCTTTTCAATTGATACTAAATGCAACCGCATCGTGGAGTGGATAGAAACATGGGGAAATCCAAAAACCAAGAAACGGAAACTGGTCATGTTTGCAGATTGGGTCATTATCTATACTTCATAAGTGTGTCCTTCTATTGTCCAAGCCGTTGTGGTTCGTTCAATGACCAAAACGGTGGATTTGCATGAAAGTCTTTTTTATTCAACACTTCCAATTATCAGCTACTAGGAACAAAGGGCATCGCTACTAGGAGCAAGGACGCTACTGGTGGCTCCTCGCCTTACTACTAGGAACAAGAAGCTACTAGCTTCTCTTCCAACGGTGGCTGAATTCCTCCTTTCTCGGCCATAGGTGCGGCGTAGTTAACCTTCTCACATACTGCGACCATCTGCGGATGGAAGATCACCCGGTACATATCCTTGGTCATAAGACTCAAAATCGCCGGCCCTGGATCAAAAAAGCAAAACAGTCTAAGAACAGTATGTTACATATTACGTCATTTACTTCAAACACTTTGGGCTGCAACATGTGCAACTTGTGGAATTGTTTCCAAAAGTTAGCATGCCAGGATCCGTAATGCTTGAACTCACTCTCAATTGAAGCCAAAAGGCACAGTCGCTTGGCATGATGGTGTAGGAACAGCCAAGGAGTTGCCTGAGTCAAGGCATTGCACCATCAACAAAAAAGGTACTGCACCATGTTGAACAATGTCAAAAACATGTGCAAACGCAATTTCCAAACCAATGAAACATTAGTCATATGCTAAAACGATCCATGATGTAGAACTGCCTTACGATCCTGTCCCATGTGCTCCTGGGCTGAAAAAATGCCACAGCTGCACCCAGCATGAACGAAGAGTAGAAACTACTCAACTCTGAAACATGTATGAGACGGAAAGACCAAATGCAGCTGACTCGCAATAGTCCCCATGATTGATCAAGCACATCAGTGCCCAATGTGTCTGTATCTCGCATCCTTTCCCTGACAAACACTCAACACGCAGCCACTGCGATGCGCTGCCCAGATGCGTTGGTCTGAAGGGTGAACCCCTCGAGGGATAAATGCCTCATTGGGTCATTGGGCTGGCCGTCCCGGAGAAACCCTGCAGAAGCGCCAGGGGACCTCCAGTCCAGTTCGTCTACAGCGGAATCGGGTAGGTGTTTGACTGGTTGTTGTTCTTTTTTTCACGTTATGTGTGGGGGTATATACAGTATACATATAAATATTACATACATAGTATGTTCCCCCAACCGGGCATTGCAGCAAGGATGCAACTTTGCCTTGATTGGCCTACGGTTCCCTGATCTTCCCTGTGTTGCTATACAGTATTAGGCACAGCAAATAGGTCAGAGCGGTCACCCCCAAGCATGAGCAAAATACATGTTTAACAGCAGCAAATAAAAATCACCAAATATATGGAAACGGATTGCACATGTGGCAATACAGCAATGCATGTATTCAATTGTATTCATGTCTAAAGGGGTTCACTTTTGTCCGCTTTTCCATGGTTTTGGGGTGCAACTTTCGTCTCACGGGGAAATCTATGATAATCTATGCGTCATGCCCTTCTCATGTTCACCCCATGGGGGTCCCTGATCGTCCTTGCAAGAGCCAACCCGACTGCCAAAGCTGCGAGGGAACTTGGGGACCCCTTCACTGCCATTGGGCTTATTGAGATTGAATGCCTTCCGCAGTGGCGCTGCCACCTGCAAGAGTAGCATAGCGTAGCATAGCGTAGCAGATGGGGCAAAGGACACGCAGAAAAAGCATGGAATCAGCACACCATTGGGGAGCGTTTGAAACAGGGAGACTGAAACTAAAATGGCCGCAAACAACTTCCGGTCAAAAGATATCAAGAGGTCACCTTGATCAAAGACATTGTAGTGCCCAGTGCATCGATCTGAGGTCGCACACAGTTTCAACTTCCCACCATGTCTAAACGGGGACCACTATACTTTACACTGTTGTCAACACATTGCAGCACTTCTTTTGACCATCCGACCTCCTCATAGATGCGGTTGTCATTGAGGACACCTAGATGCACAAATCACAATCATAGTCACCATGAGTCACCAATGCCTTGAAGTTTCATGCCATTTGGTCTTGAAAGGTCACACAGCCGCCTGCACAAATGATGCTGAGGAGCTCATGGTGGCCGTGTTCAGCATCAACATGCCAAAGACACCCTTGCAAACAGGCGTGGTTGAACCCTCTGGCACCATCACCTGATACCTAGGTGGTGCTTCGGATGCTTCAGAAGCCATTGCGGCGCTGTCGGTGGTGGAGTCGTGGAGCTCCTTGGGACCTTCATGTAGCAAGAAGCTACTAGCAGCTAATTTGCTACTTAGATACTAGTAGTACTGCCAGGAGCTACTAGTAGCGTCCTTGCTCCTAGTAGCGAGATGCCCTTTGTTACTAGTTGCTTCTTGTTCCTAATAGTACTGATATCCACTGATGAAGTCTGCCATGCCAAGCGTCATGGGCATAAAGGGTGAGCATGGAAGTTCCAGGCGCAAAGACACCCAAAGCAAGGACATGATGTCGCTCCTTGTGCAAAGCTTGTGATGACCCACAGCGCTCAATTCAATTCCTCTGTCCATCTGCATTGATTCCGACATGTATATATGTATAATATATAACTATGTCACGATATATAGAGCACTCAATGCAGGGAAACAAAACCTTCTGACCAACACACATTGACGTTTGGAAACCTTGCAGTGGATTGCAAGTGGAATATGTAGAGCACAGGAGAAACGGTGAGGTAGCCTTGCTTTCCCCCCTGTGCAATTTTGCCATCCGACATCCTTCACTTTCCAAACAGGCAAGGCGCGGCGCTGCTAAGGTCATCTCCAGTGCAAACCTCGAGACTTGGACTGGCTTGGAGCTGAAGGGGCCCATTGAAGGTGTCAAAAAATGGTCAAAAGCTTGATTTCCTGTTTGATGGTCATCCAAGAAATTCTTCGACTTCCTTTAGATGTTATTTATTTCACATCTATATGATGACTATGGGAATCTAAGCGTTCATAATTCAACATGTCGCAGCTCTCACCTGCGACATTGTGCAGCACAAATCTAAACATCCTAAGTGCCAAGTGGGTAAGCTCAGGTATGACTTCAACGAATGATATCAACAAAGCACCTGAAACAACCTAAACTATCCTAAACTGCGGTTCGGTGGCGTTTCTTGAGGCAAAGCCCACTAGTTTTTAGATGCAATCCAAACACAGCCAAGGAGGTTTTGTCATCTTGTTTCGAGAGTATCCTGTATGAGTGTTCAGCTGAGATTGGTACATTAAATGGCGACACAAATGCGACGGAATTGGTACATTCAATGGCCGCCAAGGAGCTCTCTCAACAAAATTCCAGCTCCGAATTTTTCCTTCCTCAACGTGACGGCACCCAATGGTCGTGTCCACTTATGAACACTTGACGAAAAACAAACCCAGCTGCTGGGGATCTGAAATTTAAAATAAACTAAACAACATAATCCATTCACAACGAAACCTGTGTGATGGGAAAGGGCCTACTCATGGTAGTTTAAGGGTGGTTTCATGAGTTGCAAAAATACGTACAGTAGCAAGTTCGTCTTTTTGGAATAAATACGGGGGACATCGGGGATCCAACAACTCAAACAAAGGTTGCAACACGGTAGTCACCACCATCCCTCTGCAACTTGGAAAGATCAGAAAGTGTTGCTTCATCAGTATCCAGCATCAATGCGTTGAGGGTGAATCCAGCCTGAGGCTGCAATGGCAGGATCCAGAAACAACAAACATGATTTGGACGTCGTTGAATGGAGCCGAGGGCCACTTGAAAACAAACATTGCACGCAACATCACGCAATGCATCCCATATAGGAGGTCAGCTGTGATAGTCGCATCACCCTCAAAAACTCATTAAGCAACAAATGACACGCCCCCTAAAAAACAATTAAACTATTTGATTTCCTTCGTGCGACCCCCACCCTGAGAGGCGATTGTATTGACAGACTGTCCTGACAAACGTGGCCCGACATGTGTACTGACACATCTGACACAATGTTTTGACACTTGTTTTGGTATCAAGTCTGGTAAATGCTCTGGCGCATCAACTGCCATAAAGCTGGGACATGTTCTGGGCTGTGTTCTGACATCCTTCTTGGCGTGTGTTCTGGCATATGTCCTGCCATGAATCATGACATGTTCTGTGACATATGGTCCGTCTTCCGTCCTGATAGGCATTTTGCTGTGCATTCCGGCCTTTGTTCTCTAAGTGTCTATCTTCCATATAATGGCCTTCTATCTTGCTGTCATTTTCTTGCATATATTCGGGGATTCTCTCTGGCAGAGATTCTGGCCTTGTATCTGGAATATATTCTGGCTTTCTCTGTGGCGTATATTCTGACCATCTATCTGGAATAAACGCTAGCAATCTAGCTGGCAAATATTCTGGTGCTCGCAGTTGAGGTCCGCCGGTGCCCTCTGCGATCTAGCACTGGCGGTGGGAGGGGACAGCTCTGATGAAATCTAACAACCCTCACCCGGCAGGTGTGGAAGAACATACGGTGTGAATAAATTTGTCAACCCGAAAACTCAATTGAAACATGAGCACAGCCAAAATAATTGGAACCGATACAAACCCAAATAGAGAACTCAAGACTCAGACTCAAACCCTTGATTCTTGATGAGTCTGGTTCTGATTCCTTTTCAACCTTTTGGACATGACTGCACACAAAGCGTTGGCTCCCTTCAGCCAAACGGTTCTGTGCGTTTTGGATTCGGCCGGCAGCTGCGCGTCAATTTTTGTAATGTGGAGCCCTTGTTATGTTGGTTCTCCGGCGGGCATTTTGACTGCCCAGCCATGTCATCGGACGTTGCAAACGTTGATGTGGTCAACAACAACAACTACTACTACTACTACTCCTCCTGCTGCTGCTGCTTGGATTTCTTTAGGCCTTTATAAGGCATTGGTCCATGGAGAGGTCAACAACAAGACTTGTTATGCCCGGTAATACAATTAGCTTGTTCCTTGTCCTGGGCAGGACTCTGACCCAAAACCAAACGCTACCAAGCCTGTGGATATTAAAACCAATATTCTTGTCAGTGCTGTCCAGTGACGCCTTTCTTCAGACCAACGTTCCGAAATCGCTCGCACTTGTTCAAGGCCGCGGTCAGCCTCAAACCCTTCTCGCCCACATCCTGAGGTCGACTTGTCGGCCGAGTGTGGTCAGTGAGTGGTGAAACATAAAGAAATCCTCCTCTGAGTACTAACCATCACGTGCTGTTTCTGAACAAGGCTACCAGCAATATCAAAATCATTATTTCATGACCCTTGGCGCCTGTTTGGGAAGAATGATGTAGATTCTAGTCAAGTGTGCAGATGTGATAAGGATGTTTATAGTGACTTCCTGTTCCTTCTACAAAGTGTGCCATGGAGCCCCGAATGGTCCAAAATGGCAGCCCACTGCACCCGCCTCCATGTATGTAGCATAGGGCGCCCAATAGGCATCCTCATGCCAAGAAGTCAAGGGTAGCTCCTGAGACAAGGGAAGCGAATGGGAAATCGAACGTGCCATGGCTGGTATAGGCCTCAGATGGCCTCAGCGTCTTGGTACACTGTAGGATTCGGGTGGGGGCACCCAGGCCCACCAAATAGATGACAGTTGGGGGTACCAGTGGTGCTCGTTCTGCTACCAGGTGAAATGCTTTCAGCGGGGTTCCCTGCACAAAGTATATCCACAAAAATTCTCTGATATGGCCATGTCAATCTCTCTAAACCCTTTGATGATGGAAAGGGTGAAGCCCGATCCACTGAAATTGAAGCACATTCTCTTGAACAAACGCAGTTAATTAGATACGTGAATGAACTGCGGCAAAAAGCAAACATGCAGTTTTTTCACTTGCAGTTTCCTTTTCCTAAAAGGATCTGCTAGTAAAACGCTTTCTGAATGCATTCAGTTGAGGGGGCATGTATGTCATGGCAAAACAATGCACACGACGTTCGTTCCCCACCAAAATGTTCTTTCAGAATGCTTCAGGTGAAATTTTTGAAAAACCTCCATCCCGACTGCATCTCCACATCCAACTTCCCAATGGCCCCCAACGGCCCTGGGCGGCCCAGTGCACCGGCAGCGTCGCCACGCCCGGGGTCGAGACCACCTCGCTGTGCCGATGAGGCATGGGGGGGTTGGAACCGTTCGCCCCACGAACCAAACCAAAAGCATCCGAAGCTCCAAAGAACCGACCACACGGAACAGCGACCAACCACAGGGAAGAACATCCGAATCGAATTGGTCGATGTTTGATCACGCGAAGCGAAACGGCACGAAACAAACTAGCCCCCACTTGGAGACTTTGCCAACTTATTAATTGCGACAGGTACGTATACAAGATGGTAAGAGTATTCAGGAGTTGTCCCTTTTTTTGCCTGCATGCGGGGTGCTTTAGGCTATGTTTGGTTTGCCCTTGCAGACTGTTTCGGGTCGTTGGTTCAGAATGCTTCTCTGGCACCCACCAATGCTGGCAAGAAACGGCATTCACCCTAATCTCCGTGTGCATGCACGCAACAACGCAAAAATATCGAAACAGTCGAAGCTCTGTTCAAGGCTTGCAAAAATAAGCGTCTTAATCTAGCGGCTAGCAGCTGGTGCAATGTACCTTGCTCCCACACGCAGGCGAAGAAATATGCGAAGTGATGCAATGCTGTGGTGTCTGAATCATTTTCTGGGCTACAAGAGGTGCATTTGGCTCTAGGTTTGACCCTGTTGCCCAGCACAATCCATGGGGCTCTTTCTCTCAAGGGCTCTTCTCATCGCATCTCCCTGAAAAATCGTCGGACCCTCCATTGGGAGCCCAACCGCGTTCCAAAGGTTTTGCAAGCACCAAAAGTTCGAACCGAAAGTATAAAACCGGGAAGCTCCTATTGTTTATTTATGGCATGTCTTGTGCGGTTTTTTGCTTTTTTTGAAGTGCTGTTCTGCTTTTGTTTTGCTTTTTTTCTGGCTTCCTTTTGCATTTTTTGCTTTTTGATATGTACTCTTTTTGACCAGCTGCCTTTTTTTTGCTTTTTTATGCATTTCTTTTGCATTTATTTACTGGTCATCCTTTGTGAGTGTGGTTTTGCCTTTTTTTAAAATGAATCCTTGAGATGTCAGAGTTAGGCTGTAAGGTACATCATAAATTTATGCTTAAGCAATATGTCTCTGGCGAACCGAATGATGGATGATGCTGGATGATTTTACATTCGATAATGCTGCCACTGACGTTCATTACGCACCCTAAATCCCATTGTGGGGAAACGCTGGAGCCGTCGGACCAAGTGGACTTGATTTTGCAGTTTCACCATGTTGGATTTTTGCCGATGGTTTGGTGCTTAATTGGACGTTTTAGGCATACTTCATGCATATGTATTATTTCACATTGTTGTGGGGGCCTTATTTCACTATATATAAAGTCACTGGTTCCGTTGCTTCCGTTTGCTTTTGATTTAATTGGCTTCTTAATTGGCTTCCATAAGCCAAATAAATGACAGTGTCTTTGGATTGCTGAGAAGACCCTGCCTGCCTCTGCGGGTCTGTCGGCATTCGAAGCATAGCCGATGAGCACTGCTCCTCAGGCCAGTCAGGTCCCAAAAGTGTGTTGCATTTTTCCGGAGGAGACACCAGCATGAGCCAACAAATTTATTTGAAATGGGCACCCATCTAACACAACCATGTCCTCTGGTCCTCTACTCACACCACATAACTCAGATTGAACTGAACTATATAGAACTAGCTAGCAACACTCACGACTCCAACGGCTCGTGCAGCCATATCCAATGGTGGGCAACTATGAGGCATGAGAAAATTACCAGTCAAACATCATCATGCCCAATCATTTGGAGGGGGAGTTTATGTGGAGGTCCCCACAAGTGCCCCCACTCTCCAGGCTGATGGGAGACGGGGATTCCTGAGGATGGTGACTGAATCATAAGGGACCAAATAACTGAAGGATAGCCACGAGCGCCAATCCAATCCAAACACGCAGGCCAAACGTAACGACGCAGTACGTGTCGCTCCTTCAGCCCTTGCCACAGAATCCAGGGCTATTGCTGGTGCAATGGGCTCAGCAGCTGCAGCTTGTGCTGCAATCGCTGGTGCAGACTGGGCAGTTGGTGGATCAGCAGCTTTCTTCCTACCAGCAGGGGGCACTTTTGCCAAATTGCACACTAATGATAGGGCAGGGAAGGGCTAGCGGCTATGGCATGGACATGGCATGGGCATTGATGCTACATCCGTGACAGCAAGATTCAGAGAAAAAAACCTAAGATGTAATTCTCACCCTTCGATAAACAAGACTCATCCACAATGCAAAGTGGCTCCCTCCCCCAGTTGGGCATCCCATGGCTCCCGCACGGCTCCAAACCGATGGCGTCCTCTTGGGTTTCAAGAAGCCACCGCTTCCTGAGGCCCGTTGGCGCGGCCTTCCCATGGAAACACTCCCGAAAAAGAAGCATGGTGTATTTTACAGGATCAGCTCTAATAGTACTAACTACCTAGCTAACCCTGCTAGCCCGGTAAGCGCTACCTTTTGCTCTACCTTGAGAGTCAACGCTACGGGGTCCATGGGGATGAGGTGAATTTCAACACCCCCCTTTACAAGGAGCTACCCGTAGGGAAAATCTCGGGGAGGATCAAATTCTAGCGACGAAGGAATCATATTAGAAATCCCTCATCAAGCTCGTGCATGCACTATACAAGGAGAACGTAGCTACCCTAATGTACAGTTTTCGCCTCACTCGGCATGTGGTTAAACATGCTAGGCCCAGGTTAGTGTTAAGCATTGATTAAAAGTTCACTCTCCGACTATGGCAATCCTGTTATGGATGCATTGGGAAGTGAGACAATGAAGTGAAACATCATCTCACAGCGCGTCAGAAGGTGATCTTTATCTCAACACTCATAAACTGCAAGGCATACCATTTATGGTAGCTATTCAACATCTGCTTAAAGAAATTGTATTCCAAAACGCTCCGTCTCGTCATGCCATCCCTGCCTCAACCACTCCCACAATTCCATGTGATTGGGCCAATAGTTCTCGCCCCATGGGTCATCGCGTTGCCATTGTACTCCAGGAAAATCAAAGGGTTCCAATGGTCGATCAATAGTTCCACGAATGCTGGAAGTCGGCGGCCCAGTTAAGGGTGCATTATGTGACGATGATACCGAAGCGGACGAAGTTCCGGGTGGCAATGGCGGCGGTGGCACGTTTTGTACATTCCATTGCTGTGGGGCATAAGGTCCTCCTCGAACACTCACCTGCTGCTTATCCTTGCCCTTTCCTTTTACGGAAGGTTGCAACCGACTGTAAAGGTCTGTAAGCGGCGGCGGCTTCGGCGTGAGATTGAAATCTGTCGGCCTTGTATGTACCGGAATGCCACTGGCTGTATTGGGTGGCACTTTCGGTGGAGGAACCTTTGGAGGAGGCACCTTTGGTGGTGGGACCTTCGGAGGTGAAGGTTTGGCTGGACGTGGCTTGGAGATTGGTGAAAGGCCAGTTGCAGGTGGGTTGTTGGGTGCAGTTAACGGTGGCGGTGAAGTTGGGGGACCCAAGAGGTCCTTGGGGATGTTGCCACGTTTAGGTGGAAGGACACGGCTCTGGGAAATTGCTCGGGCGACAGAACCACGCGGCGTCCCTTTTGCGGGAGCGGCTGAGCCTGCTGCCGAAGAACTGCCTTGGCCTTTGCCCTTTCCAGAAACATCTCTCCGTTCACCGACATCCTGTTTAGAGGAGTCACCCTTTCCTGAAACTTGTCCTTGAGCAGGAGGTGCATTCATGCGGAATACCGACGAGGTATGCGTCCCTGTTACGGGAGCTGGCGGCTGAGGCACGCCTGGCGGTGGAGTCCGGTTGTCAACCCAAGTTGCAATACGACCAGATTGATCTCGGTCTTCTTTCCTCCTCCACTGCAGCCTCGGTCGTTTGTCTGCATCTCCAATAGTCTCCATGTACATCTGCGATCGCTTCCGCGTCAACGGGGGCCTTGTTACAGGTCCTTGAGGAGATGGTGCTCCACGCTGCCCAAACTCAAGCAAGATCTCTTCAAGCCGTCGAATCTCGTCAGACGACATGTCCTGGCCACAATCGGCAAACTTGGGATAAGGCGTGGCCATGCGCTGTTCGATGTTCATGAAGCCCATCTGTGAAACTGGCTGTCCACGATCGCGTCCCTGCACACTTGCAGACTGTTGCGCGTTTCTCTGATATTGAATGTTTGCATAATTTTCATTCTGCTCTGCAAACTCACTCAAAATCTTGTAAATGCCTGTCGTGTCTCCACGAGGAATACGAATTGAATGAATATCGCCATAGACGTCCGTCGTGGGGATAAAGCCCTGGATCTTGATCTCATCTCGGCTATCGCCAATTACGGCGGCGTATTGTCGGAGTGACATAAACTCTCGGCGATAACTGATCAGAAAGTTCTCGTCGACGCCTTGCTTGAAACAGGTATGTAGGTTGTCAACACCGCATCGAATATACGCGAGCTTGGCGAGGTCAACCCTGTCCAGTCGATCCAAATCACTGACAACCGACTTCCCTTTTGATCTCTGCTTCGCTGATCTCGTGGGTGCCGGTAATTGCAGTGACGCAAACAAGTCTTCTTGCGCTGCATCAAACGCTGTGCATCCTTCTCCGGTTAAGGAGGTAGCGAAGACGTCGTCGCGGTTGAATCGATCGAATACATTCTCATACCCTGATTTCAATGCTTTGCGAAGGCGGCCGCGAGCTGCAAGAATAATCTGACTGTCAACTGACGGGCTACCACGAGCTGGAGGTCGTCCAGACTGTAGGTCCTGCGCGGCAATGCTGTCAAGCATGCTTGTTGCGGTCATGTTCTTGGGCACGCCCCCCTGCTCTTGTAGCACCTTTGCACGCCTCATCTGAAGTCGCATAAACTTTGAAATCGGTCCATCTGTTGTATTGCTCTGAAATACTACTCCGCATCGATGACAAGATGCCATTCCTGCTAAGGAAAGTGTCGTACATTTATCGCAGCTGAAAGTTCGAAGATGTAGAAAATATCCACTCTCGATCTGTGGTACAGCTGTATTGCGATTTGCCTC